CAAGGAAGTGGAGACGGAGCCTACTGGACACAAGATCGAGGAGAGGAGCAGATGTGGGTTCAGACCACTATCTAGTACAAGGGACTTACAAGGTGAAGCTGAAAGCCTCGAGGATACCTGGGGATAGACCACAATGCAAGTTCAACACTCAAAAACTGAAGGAGACAACCACATAGGACAGTTTCACTGCAACTTTCAGAGCAAAGCAGAAAACACTACGTGGCACTACTGAAGAATCATCCGTGGAAGACCATTTGAACTCTCTGAAGGTAATTTTCAACGAAACGTGTTCAACGGTTTTAGGAAGAAAGAAGAAGCAAGACAAGGAATGGCTCTCAACGGACACTTGTAAGCTAATAGAAGAGAGGAGAATGGTGAAAGGGAAAATGATTCAATGCAAAGACGGACAAGAGAAAGAGACGCTGAGCTCAACTTACACAGCACTGGACAAAGAAGTGAAGAAAAGTGCTAGGAAGGACAAAAGACAATTCTACGACAACCTGGCTACTGAAGCTGAGAAGGCATCAAGCAAAAGGGACCTGAGGACACTATATCAGATAACCGAGTCTCTATCAGGGAGGAGATCAACACAATTGAAACCTATGAAAGACAGCCAAGGGAACCCAATTACCAAGGAAGAAAGTCAGATTAAACAATGAGCGGACCACTTCAAAGGACACTTGAACCGACTACCACCTACAACCCGTCCAGAAATACCAACAACAACACGTACACAACTGCAAGTTGACACCAAACCTCCAACGAAAGCTGAAGTGTTGAATGCAATCAAGCTTCTGAAAGCTGGAAAAGCAGCTGGACCAGATGGAATACCTCCGGAAGCACTGAAAGCGAACCCATAAACGACAGCAGAAATGCTGACTGTATTATTGCAAAAGATCTGGAAAGAGGGAAAGGTGCCTACTGATTGAAGGAAAGGTTACCCAGTGAAACTACCAAAGAAGGGCAACCTGGGACTCTGCAAGAACTGGCGAGGAATCATGCTACTGTTGAAGCCAAGTAAAATTCTGAGTCGCATCATCCTGGAGAGAAACAAGGACGCACTGGATACAGAAGTCCGACCAGAACAAGCTGGATTCAGGAAAGGCAAATCATGTTCTGACCAAATTGCAACTCTACGCATCATCATCGAACAAAGCATGGAATAGCAATCAAACCTCTACCTCAACTTTACAGACCTTGAGAAGGCCTTCGACAGCGTTGACCGCTTAGTAATTTGGAAACTACTTGAGTACTACGGCGTACGCCAAATATTCATCAACCTTATTCAACAGCTGTACGACAACGGCACATCTCAAGTGATCCACATCGGAAAAGTCAGCGAGAAGTTTGGAGTAAACACAGGAGTCAGACAAGGGTGCTTATTATCACCAATGGTATTTCTAATTGTGGTGGACTGGATTATGCGTCAGACAGTGGGAAACGAGAAGACAGGGATATCCTGGACCGACGTGAAGAACCTAGAAGACCTGGATTTCGCAGATGATTTATTTTTGATGGCACACAAAATCGAAGACTTACAAGCGAAAACCGACAAACTGGTCGAAGGAGCAGCAAAGACAGGACTCCAGGTGAACATAGACAAGACGGAGGTTATGAAAATAACCAGCCAACAACCACCAAACAACAGCAGCAGCAACATCCAGAGACAATCACCATCAACGGGAGGGATTTGAAAGAGGTTACTTCATTCACTTATCTAGGGAGCATTGTCTCAACTACAGGAGGAACGGATGAAGATGCTAAGTCGAGAATCGGGAAGGCGAGAAACACATTCATCAACCTGAAACCAATCTGGAAATTTTCGTCACTCAGCATCAACAACAAAATTCGGATTTTCAATACAAACGTCATGTCAGTCACTTCTTCTATACGGATGAGAAACTTGGAGGGTCACAAAGAATATTTCCAACAGGTTACACAGACCTTTATCAACAACTGTCTTCGTCGCTCTATACTGAAGATCAGATGGCCTGAAAGAATCACCAACAAGAAACTATGGGAACAAACAAAACAAGAACCGATCGCTCAGCAAATATGCAGGAGAAAGTGGAGATGGATTGGACACTCGCTGAGGAGGCCGTTGGGGGACACCGCGCGTCAGGCCAGTGCTCGAGTGGATCCCGAAAGGGAAGTGGCGAGTGGGACGTCCAAGGGTGACATGGAGGAGATGGTGCGAAGCGGAATTGAAACATTATGGATTAACATGGACGCATGTAAAAAGTACATCAGAAGACAGAAGCTAGTGGAGACGTGCAGTTGAAGTACCTATATTCCACTAGGAACCCAAGGGAACAATAATAATAATAAGTACAGGTAAATGTGATTGTTTGTTGTGCCAGTGATTATAATCAACTATATCCAAAGGATTTTATGGATTTCTGATGCTCGCCTCATTTCAGATAATTTAGTATCCCCAGAAAGAGAAATTACGCGAAGCATTTTTTGATATGTATTCAGCACATTTCAACTTACCAAGAAACGCTAAATGTCATAATTGGTCAGGGTAGAGGTATATTTCACACAACCAAGCAATCTTCATGCAATACAGTTTATTGAATAGATGTGAAACGCGAATAACATTCCGACCTCTTCCGCTTCGGATCAATATCAATGTTCTAAATACTTTTTTAATTTCTAGTGTGAATCGCATATTATAAGATGGCTAAATGCTAGAAAAACTGGTTAGCAGAACTCTTATGTAATGGGATAAGTAAATCTCACCACGAGTGCGTATTTATCAGCATTATATATTGTGACGTATTGTCAACTGTTACACCCAATACATGAGGTTTAAAGCAATTTCATGAATACAGTTGCCCTTGGTGGCACAACATGGTAATCACTGTTCATTTGATCTGTAGACTTATCTGCAAGTAATATCGGTTTCTAAAAAGAAAAAACAATGAAATCGCTTTTTATGCCAAAAGTTCGAGTTTTGGAAAGCTCACCTTGACATCCTGCATTGAGAGAAGCAGTATTGAAAATCGTGCAGATTGTAGTATAATTGTTTAATTTCACAAGATTTGGCTGCTTCATGCATATGCTTAATTGCTGACTATCAACATGGAAAACAGTGAAACGTTTACTGCATAAGGTATTCAGCGGTGGTAGACTGATAGTATAAAATTAACACAGTTGTCTGGTAATAGTAGGAATCTCCAAAACTGCCAAACTTTTGTTAAAATAATTCACTGACGGGTAACCATTCAAGGTAGTAAATAAACATCAGCCTGATGAGCTGATACAAAAGTCTGTTTCGAAAATCTGATGAGTCAGATGGAATTTCTCGTTCTGGTTTCACCTAATGATGCAACCCATTAAAAATAAACCGTGATTAATCTTTGGCGTGATCACATCAATCATAAATGCAGCCTGCGTATTGTATTCTTGAAAGCTATTGAACATATCATGGATTGATGCAAAACAGATAAGCAACCTCGAAAATTATTACTGGACAAATCACACCATGGTACTGAACACGCAAAAATAGCTCCCGACGAAAATAAATTTCCAAAACATATATCAAAGTCAGATATAGTAGATAGACTGATCTAAATTTACAAATAATTTGATTGAAACCAAAAGACTGTTCATTCTTTTCACGCAGTTATATTTATAATTTCCTCTAAATGTTTTTGCCACGCACTGAAAATACCCATTTCATAAGATATAGGCATAGATTGTGCCACTTCATCAAAAAGCGGCTTTGCGAAAATCACAAGTACATTTCTAGGCATAAAATAATTGGTCACAATTTCTTCACAAGTGGAGGAGATACCCAGAAAAAATTACGATGAAAAATTCATAGAAGAATGTTCAACTAATACGCAAAGAAAAGAAAACAACTCAAACGTGATATTCTTTATTCAGAATAATCTACAAAGCAACATTATCTTAAAATTAGCATCAGATCATCACATCATGTCAAAATTGTTGTACGGAATCAGTTAATTTGGCAAAACATAGTTAGATCTACCTCAAAATTAAATGATGAGAGAAACTACAGAGGACAAGTCGCTGCAAGATAATGAATCAACATGTGCTAGTGAATTGGATATCAAATGAAAATCTCTTTGAAAAATCCTCATTTCCATGCAATATTCCGCCAATCTCCAAGTATCACCTACTTCTGAGAAGCAATTAGGCCAACATGTGAAAGATAAGCTGTTACAATGAGTCACATCAACATGAACCAATGCGTTCACCTGCCTCTATGAATCCGCACACATTGGACTAAACTTGCATCCGCTTGTTGAATCTCCTAGTGAGCATCGACTGGGATGAAGATTGATACTAAGTCAGAGCAGGGAACAGTCTCCTGCTAAATACTCACAATTATACGCAAAGATCATCAATGGATTCAATCTTTCAAAACGACAACTATTATTTCTCGGCCATCAGTGCTATGTTCCACTTGATATATACCGCTAATACGCGTATATGTCTCTGTATCTCTTTCTCCAGTGAACACAAATTACCAGGTTTTATTACACTTCACATGCATCACGTTGGTAAACACGCAGGTGACAGACAGCCTACATCCATCATATTTGTAGCAAACTAAATTGCAACAAATAAGTGATTCTCAGTAATTCGAAATTGAATACAGGTGTCAATGGAAGTGAACATTGAACGTTTGTTTTATTGGAACTGGCAACCATTAGCGGGCAATTCAAGGCGCGAATGAAACGATCGCTTGCAAGTTGAACGAAGACTGGATTTAAATACGAATAAAAGTACTTTATAACTTCAATTGTACTTAACATTTGTTTGCAGACTTTGTAGTTTTCTTCAATTTAATTGCCAAACAATATAATTTCGTTCGAGGAATATTGGTGTTTTGGATTTAAAGTTGAAGAAATACATAGTGTTTATCGGTTCAATCGCTTAAGTCTTCGTTACAATAGGAACTTAGGGCTAAGTTCCTTGACAGTTTTTATTCGTTTGTTCGTCTTCGGGAACAGTTTTCATTCTTCGTGGGCGCCTTCTGGAAATCGTCTGGGTGTACTTACTAGATCTGCAGCCAGCTTCTCTTTGGACAAGGATTATCAACGCAATTTGGATTCTTTGGTGACGTTTGATAATGCCTGGGTCAAGAAAGGGACATGGCACATTGGAAGCAGACAAAAAAGTAAGTCACGATGAGTTGCCTGTTAATTGTAATGATATGTTTGATGCTCAGCATGTTAAGTTTGATGTTCACGCCTCACCGTTAAGTGACAGTAAGGGTTTAAGATTGCCTAAGTTTGAACCGAGATACTTCGATGGAAACCCAGCCGACTACCCACAGTTCATCAAAGAGTTTGAGGTCATGCTGAGTGGTTTTGTATTGAATGATGAAATGAAGTTAATGTATTTGTTGAGATATTGCACTGGTGTAGCTGCAAGAGCCATACAGTGCTGCAAGTTTATGCCCCCGAACGAAGGATATACTGAGGCCATGAAGATACTACGTCAAAGGTTTGGAAAACCATATATGATATCCCGTAGTATTTTCGAGACAGTGAAAGGTAACGGATCACAGTTAAACGATAATGCAGAGGAACTTGCAGAGTTCTTGGATAATTTGATGGTATATAGAAATACACTCATGTCTTTTAACTGCGTAGATGAATTGAACTCAAGTTCCGTGCTTGAAACTGTTGCTAAGAGATTACCTGTTCGTCTACAAAGGAAGTTCATAAAGGTTTGTTCACGTCTAGAGGAGGAAGGTTTAGAGCCTAGGTTGGATGACCTTGTGAGCCTGTTGAAAGACAGTGTCAACCAAGCTTTGAGCAAGTTTGCTAGTATACTGCATCCCTCCCCTGGAATAGAGAAATCAGAGAGCAAAATGCAATCATTTATGACGAAGGGGTCTCAGCGTAGTGGATATCGAGAAAGCTGTATGGTGTCTAGTAAACCTAATGGTTGTGACAGCTTTAGTGAGACGTCCCCAACGGATAAGTTACAAGCTGCGAGACAAACACGGTTGTGCTTCGTCCGTTTGCAAGAAGTGCATACAAAGGCGAACTGTGAATCAACGAGCAAGTTTAGTTGCAAGCTAAATGTGAAGTCAGCGTCATCGTGTTCTGACTCCGAATTGTGTAACGCTAATGGTGTGGTGAAGAAGCCTGTTGTCGTAACTGGTAATCCATTGTTGAAAAGAGTGTCTCAGACGACACCGCAGTTTGTGCATAAGAATAGGGTTACAGTTTCAGTGTCCAGTTCTGACTCCACAAGTTTACAAGGTATTACTAGTCAGAGTAAAGGAATAAAACCTTTAAAGATTCATGAAGAAGAACCTAAGTCATCTACGGTTGTTACTAAAGAGTTTGAAAAGGATGAAGCCAATCATACAGACGGTGGTAAAGTGGGTATTTGTGACAATGGTCACGATAGTTCACATTTGTCTTTGGCTGATCATGATGAGATTAGCGGAATGCCTACTACTACTGAGTTGAACGAAGGTTCTGTACAACTTGAACGTGAAGTAGAATTAAAGACAGATGCGGTTGCTGCAGATATGGATACTCGTGAGGCCGTCAGTGTAAATGATTCGCGTGTAGTCAACCTATTGACAGATGTTAATGCAGAACTGGAGCCAATAATGAAAGATGGCAGTGATGGTAATCCTGTGGTTAGACAACCTCCTAAAGGTCTAACAACAACAGCCTCTGATACACCGCTAAGTTCATTAACTGGTGTCAGCCAGTCGTCGTTGGTGTTGGCATATGCAGTAAAAGAGCCGTCCATGAATCATCGTGTCTTATGCAGTGATTATGCTAGTGTCGGTCCGTTCGAAGGGACGAAAGTCAATGGCCAGTTTAGTGACGATAAGCCAACTGTGTACAGGGTGGTAACTGTTAGACTGACTTGCACGAATAAAGGCATTTCAGGTTTCAAACTACTATTTGAATGTTATTATCTTTGGTGCAAATTACTGTGTACATTCGCTTGGTTGGTCAGATACGTCGTATGTTTGTTAGTCATCTACCTTCCACGATACAATGTCATGGGCGTGTTACCATTCAGAGTCGAGGATATAGATGATGGAAGGAGGTCAGCAAATGAGCTCAACGACGATTTTCCAACTTAAGGGCGTAAACCTGAGAAGGGTTGTAGGCGTACTGCTGTAAGTCCTACAATTCTTCAAGGGTAGTACGTCAAAGAGCAGTCCATCGTACTTGGTGTATTATTTTGTACATATGTTCATGTTGTATATAATCAATTGGTATCATCACTCTTCTATCTGTTGATTAATTTTGTTTGTATCCGGACGTCTTCCACTTGGATCGTCAACCTGAGAAGGAATGTAGGCGTACTGCTGTAAGTCCTACAGTTCTTCAAGGGTAGCTCGTCAAGGCAGAATCCGCGATATTTGATGTATTGATTGTACATATGTTTGTGTTGAGTAATTCAATGGGTTCCGATTCATCTGATTGTCGGTTAATTTTATAGTTGTCGCATTGTGTGAATCATCTTGTAATGTTTTTGTAAGTACTTCTGAATTCGCTTCTAAACTTGTGAACGAATTGAGTAGAATCAAAGTCAGCGTACGCGATTGGATACGCCGGGGAGAGGATTGGGCTAGAGCGGAATAAAGCAATCGATACTTTGTGAACGAGATCAGTGGTGGTATTGTCGTCAGAGAGCGTAGACCCCATGCGCCGTTGAGAGCGTGTCGGTGTGATGTGGTATGTTTGCTGTGTGTTGGGCTTTTTTGTCTTGCTTTTCCAATTTTAGCCTAGTCCCGATTGGCCCAGGTTCCCGCATTGGCAGTTCAGTTCAAGGTTACCGCCGCTGTGGAAAAAAGGGATGGACCCTTTTTTGCCGGGGAGTGTCAATGGAAGTGAACATTGAACGTTTGTTTTATTGGAACTGGCAACCATTAGCGGGCAATTCAAGGCGCGAATGAAACGATCGCTTGCAAGTTGAACGAAGACTGGATTTAAATACGAATAAAAGTACTTTATAACTTCAATTGTACTTAACATTTGTTTGCAGACTTTGTAGTTTTCTTCAATTTAATTGCCAAACAATATAATTTCGTTCGAGGAATATTGGTGTTTTGGATTTAAAGTTGAAGAAATACATAGTGTTTATCGGTTCAATCGCTTAAGTCTTCGTTACAATAGGAACTTAGGGCTAAGTTCCTTGACAGTTTTTATTCGTTTGTTCGTCTTCGGGAACAGTTTTCATTCTTCGTGGGCGCCTTCTGGAAATCGTCTGGGTGTACTTACTAGATCTGCAGCCAGCTTCTCTTTGGACAAGGATTATCAACGCAATTTGGATTCTTTGGTGACGTTTGATAATGCCTGGGTCAAGAAAGGGACATGGCACATTGGAAGCAGACAAAAAAGTAAGTCACGATGAGTTGCCTGTTAATTGTAATGATATGTTTGATGCTCAGCATGTTAAGTTTGATGTTCACGCCTCACCGTTAAGTGACAGTAAGGGTTTAAGATTGCCTAAGTTTGAACCGAGATACTTCGATGGAAACCCAGCCGACTACCCACAGTTCATCAAAGAGTTTGAGGTCATGCTGAGTGGTTTTGTATTGAATGATGAAATGAAGTTAATGTATTTGTTGAGATATTGCACTGGTGTAGCTGCAAGAGCCATACAGTGCTGCAAGTTTATGCCCCCGAACGAAGGATATACTGAGGCCATGAAGATACTACGTCAAAGGTTTGGAAAACCATATATGATATCCCGTAGTATTTTCGAGACAGTGAAAGGTAACGGATCACAGTTAAACGATAATGCAGAGGAACTTGCAGAGTTCTTGGATAATTTGATGGTATATAGAAATACACTCATGTCTTTTAACTGCGTAGATGAATTGAACTCAAGTTCCGTGCTTGAAACTGTTGCCAAGAGATTACCTGTTCGTCTACAAAGGAAGTTCATAAAGGTTTGTTCACGTCTAGAGGAGGAAGGTTTAGAGCCTAGGTTGGATGACCTTGTGAGCCTGTTGAAAGACAGTGTCAACCAAGCTTTGAGCAAGTTTGCTAGTATACTGCATCCCTCCCCTGGAATAGAGAAATCAGAGAGCAAAATGCAATCATTTATGACGAAGGGGTCTCAGCGTAGTGGATATCGAGAAAGCTGTATGGTGTCTAGTAAACCTAATGGTTGTGACAGCTTTAGTGAGACGTCCCCAACGGATAAGTTACAAGCTGCGAGACAAACACGGTTGTGCTTCGTCCGTTTGCAAGAAGTGCATACAAAGGCGAACTGTGAATCAACGAGCAAGTTTAGTTGCAAGCTAAATGTGAAGTCAGCGTCATCGTGTTCTGACTCCGAATTGTGTAACGCTAATGGTGTGGTGAAGAAGCCTGTTGTCGTAACTGGTAATCCATTGTTGAAAAGAGTGTCTCAGACGACACCGCAGTTTGTGCATAAGAATAGGGTTACAGTTTCAGTGTCCAGTTCTGACTCCACAAGTTTACAAGGTATTACTAGTCAGAGTAAAGGAATAAAACCTTTAAAGATTCATGAAGAAGAACCTAAGTCATCTACGGTTGTTACTAAAGAGTTTGAAAAGGATGAAGCCAATCATACAGACGGTGGTAAAGTGGGTATTTGTGACAATGGTCACGATAGTTCACATTTGTCTTTGGCTGATCATGATGAGATTAGCGGAATGCCTACTACTACTGAGTTGAACGAAGGTTCTGTACAACTTGAACGTGAAGTAGAATTAAAGACAGATGCGGTTGCTGCAGATATGGATACTCGTGAGGCCGTCAGTGTAAATGATTCGCGTGTAGTCAACCTATTGACAGATGTTAATGCAGAACTGGAGCCAATAATGAAAGATGGCAGTGATGGTAATCCTGTGGTTAGACAACCTCCTAAAGGTCTAACAACAACAGCCTCTGATACACCGCTAAGTTCATTAACTGGTGTCAGCCAGTCGTCGTTGGTGTTGGCATATGCAGTAAAAGAGCCGTCCATGAATCATCGTGTCTTATGCAGTGATTATGCTAGTGTCGGTCCGTTCGAAGGGACGAAAGTCAATGGCCAGTTTAGTGACGATAAGCCAACTGTGTACAGGGTGGTAACTGTTAGACTGACTTGCACGAATAAAGGCATTTCAGGTTTCAAACTACTATTTGAATGTTATTATCTTTGGTGCAAATTACTGTGTACATTCGCTTGGTTGGTCAGATACGTCGTATGTTTGTTAGTCATCTACCTTCCACGATACAATGTCATGGGCGTGTTACCATTCAGAGTCGAGGATATAGATGATGGAAGGAGGTCAGCAAATGAGCTCAACGACGATTTTCCAACTTAAGGGCGTAAACCTGAGAAGGGTTGTAGGCGTACTGCTGTAAGTCCTACAATTCTTCAAGGGTAGTACGTCGAAGAGCAGTTCATCGTACTTGGTGTATTATTTTGTACATATGTTCATGTTGTATATAATCAATTGGTATCATCACTCTTCTATCTGTTGATTAATTTTGTTTGTATCCGGACGTCTTCCACTTGGATCGTCAACCTGAGAAGGAATGTAGGCGTACTGCTGTAAGTCCTACAGTTCTTCAAGGGTAGCTCGTCAAGGCAGAATCCGCGATATTTGATGTATTGATTGTACATATGTTTGTGTTGAGTAATTCAATGGGTTCCGATTCATCTGATTGTCGGTTAATTTTATAGTTGTCGCATTGTGTGAATCATCTTGTAATGTTTTTGTAAGTACTTCTGAATTCGCTTCTAAACTTGTGAACGAATTGAGTAGAATCAAAGTCAGCGTACGCGATTGGATACGCCGGGGAGAGGATTGGGCTAGAGCGGAATAAAGCAATCGATACTTTGTGAACGAGATCAGTGGTGGTATTGTCGTCAGAGAGCGTAGACCCCATGCGCCGTTGAGAGCGTGTCGGTGTGATGTGGTATGTTTGCTGTGTGTTGGGCTTTTTTGTCTTGCTTTTCCAATTTTAGCCTAGTCCCGATTGGCCCAGGTTCCCGCATTGGCAGTTCAGTTCAAGGTTACCGCCGCTGTGGAAAAAAGGGATGGACCCTTTTTTGCCGGGGAGTGTCAATGGAAGTGAACATTGAACGTTTGTTTTATTGGAACTGGCAACCATTAGCGGGCAATTCAAGGCGCGAATGAAACGATCGCTTGCAAGTTGAACGAAGACTGGATTTAAATACGAATAAAAGTACTTTATAACTTCAATTGTACTTAACATTTGTTTGCAGACTTTGTAGTTTTCTTCAATTTAATTGCCAAACAATATAATTTCGTTCGAGGAATATTGGTGTTTTGGATTTAAAGTTGAAGAAATACATAGTGTTTATCGGTTCAATCGCTTAAGTCTTCGTTACAATAGGAACTTAGGGCTAAGTTCCTTGACAACAGGGGTGACAAAAGTGGCCAGTCAGCGGAATATAGAAGTATGCGATCAGCTCAATAGATGAGTAGCTTCTCAACCCAGAACACTGAACTCCATTTCTGAAATCTTTCAAGGTCCTTAACAACACTTGATCTAATATCTAAAGTAAAGCGCGATCGAGATATCTGGACATGGCTGAAGCGTTAACGATCCAAATGTTTGTGTCAACACCATGCATCCAAAGTAAAAACGTTCAATGTTACATCTGTTTGAAGGTGAATCATGTCAATTCTCCATGAGTGTAGAAAAACCTACAGAAGTGTGTGTTAATGCATGAATGAATTGTCAGTTGAGGTCATAGAAAACAGACATTGAATTATGAGCTTAAAATGATGTGAATGATTCAGAGGCAGATATAGTAGGGGTTTGAAATCATTTTGAGAGTCATTTGACATCAGGGACCTGAAGTGATGCTTTCAATTATGAGGATGAAAATTTCAGCTAATCGACTGACTACGTCTGCAGTCACATACTGACACCGCTTTCAATGCAATAATCTTTGTTGTAACTTTATTGCATCTGACTGTTTATGTGTTGAGAGGTGAGCGCTTGCAGTATGTCGCGTAACTTAAAAATATTAGGCGGATGGGTACAGAATAATGAATGATTGACGTTCATATTTCATTGTATTTTCATGTCTTTCTCAATCAGCATGACTTTGAAACCTAGTTGTTGATACTGAGTATTCTTTGTCACCCTTATTTCACCACAATTTACAATGCTCCCTATTTTCTGATCTCTGACAGAATGTATGCCAGAATACTTCCGACTTATTTCCAATACGTCCGCCAATGCAGATTCTAGGTGATGAATACGTCATAAATATCAAAACAGTTCTATTTGCAAGTGTGTTAGCATTTTCGCTACATTTATTGCGCGTATTCCATGTTAACTACCATGCACATTTATCGGTTAAATCCTTTGCACCTATCAGATATTCTCCTGTTTGACATCCATAGCACATTTTCTGAAGAATCCATCTAAATTTCTTCAGGTTGCACTGAATCCCTTTCAACTACTTATTAAAAAACCCATATCTGAATGTAGCTAATGCATTCCTTCATTCAGCGTGATACGGCTGCAGCTACACTCGACTATCCTTGTCATCTGCTGAACTACGGAGGGTTACGGAAATACGAATTTATTGCTGAATCGTTTGAAAAATGCACGAGTTCATCAAAACAGAAAAACAGTGAAGCAACGTGTCGTCTGAAGAACATTGTGAATCGACAAATTGATCACATTATCTGCTAAAATATATGAAATGAACATACATTCGGATGGCTGAATATCATCCATATCAGGATATGCCTAATTCCTCAAATCACTGATTGAGTTAGCACTGTGGTGTGATTGACATTTCAAGTCGATCATTGAAATTCGAATAAGCTTTGAATTTTAATTTTTTTTCTGACTAACGCACAAATCAAGTAATCACATATTTCAATATACTTGTGAAATGTCGTGGATTGAGCATATTATGGTCAGACTATTAGATTGTGACACGCCTTGCCCTCTACAGTTAGACTTGAATGAGAAGGGACGAGCTGGGCGTCAAAATGTTATGTGTAAGATATTAAGTAAAAGAGAATTTAAAAGTTATCGTCAGTCATCGTTTCATGTAGAAAGTACAGCAGGCAATGTGTTGACATATGAATGAACTGTTGGAACCAAATATTTCCTTGGGAATACAAAATTTAAATAAATACTATGGCACTACTGTGATCCAGATTCTTTGTGTTTCAGTGGGTATATATATGGATATCAGGAGTTTTGGTGTTGTAAAACACTGATGTATGTTTTGGGCAGTCAGCGTATGTATATGTTGAATAAATTAATTTCCATGAATACATACCTAGTCTAGCTGCAAGTCAAAAATTGCTGAAGAGTAACATGTTTTCAAACGCTATTTATATTCCTAATGTGTAAGATATTATATCTGGGAATGTGGGTTCATATTTTGGGGCTTGAAATTCTTCCGATCAGAATGGTTCCTTCTGTGATTGGCATCGGCTGATTACCTCTTGTAGACCTCTTTTAAAAGTGAATGGTATATTTCGATCGTGAGGATTGATTATATGTGTGCGTTCACCCAGAATCTCCACACATTGTTAATCGGTACATCTTATTTCCATCTGCATCGGAATCTGCGAACTATCAAGTACTAAATATCATGGTGTTATTTTACCAAATGCCGAGTGCAGAAAAGGAGTTTCCTTGCGTACATTAACCAGTCAGGACAAAAAATAATGTGATCATTTGTCAACATCCTTATGCTGGAACGATTGTTAGCGATGATATTTCACCATGTGATGAAAGTAATTGAATATTGAATAAAACGTGAATGCGGCAGCTGTTCCATATACTCACCCACAACCGCTGGAACGTGACCAGTATTCACGTAAAAAGTAAGAAAGAAAATCTTTAGTGTGTTAGTATAGTCACGAAACCCACCCCACTTGAAGCGTTTAAAGTGTCTTGAATTTTTATCAAATCGTGAATGAGAATTATGAGAATTATTTTGTCTTCTGTCACTTGAAGGGATATTTTATAATGATGACACCTCATCAACAATTATCTGTGATTCCTAAATAAATAAAACCATGTGTAGGTGACTTGTAAAGGAATATTTTTGAATGAGGTCACTTCCCTCACTTATCGAGGCAGCGTTATTTCGATTATAGGCTAAACGGATCAGAGTGTCAAAACCAGAATCGCAAGAGAAAAATCTACCTCATCACGCTGTAAGTAATTTGAAAATCCGCATTACTCAGTAAAAGCAACAAAATTCCAATTTTCAACACGGATGTTTGGTCACGTCTACCAAATGTATTAGAAACTTGCCATTTCACGAAAATAGTTTCTTCTAAATGGCAGAATTTGTAAACAGCTACCTCTGTTTTATAATGAAGATCAGATGTCTGACCAGCGACACTTAGTGACGTGGAACTCTTTTTGAATGAACGAATTGAAAACCCAATGCACACCAAATATGGCGAAGGAAAGACAGTTCGATAGGATATATGCTGAGGGCACCGTCGAGTGGTGTTGCACACTAGGACTTTGAGTGGGACATGACTCGCAGTCGACGAGTGAATCATTCGATTGTGAAATAGAAGGGATCGTATGAAGAGGAAGAAACACCTTAAGGATAAAAGTAACGCCTGGTGGAGAAGACTACAGTACAAAAATAAAAAAATGATGTATTGTTGACGTCTAATGTTCTACCCTGCAATAGAATAGGGATTAATAATCTTTCCCATGGCTGACCGAAAAAACCTCTTTGTTCCCTTAATTCTTCCCTGGATGACAGGTCGCCATAAGTTGCTGCGTGTAAAATAATCCTATAACTGCAACTTACGTCTGAGCTCTGCAAGTCATTTTGTAGCAAAATGTGCCGAAAATGTTCTGCAATTTTCGCTTCAGATTAATTGATACAATGATATTCAAAGGAATAACGAATATATGTCTCTCATCTCAC